AACTGACCACAGCCGCCATTCCCCGTCCCCCCGTGCCGCGCGGGAGGGAGAGAAATGGGGAGTGAAGCTGAGCCCGGGGAGAAGGGAGGGGTGGGAGGAAGGTGTTGTAAGATTTGGGTTTAGTTCTTATTACCATACTGATTTTGATTGGCAGTAAATTGGCTTAAATTTTCCCCAAGTCGAGTCTGTTTTGCCTGTGACAGTAATTGGGGAATGCTCTCTCCCTGTCCGTATCTCAGCCCATGAGCTGCTGCTCATATTTTCTCTCCCCGTTCAGCTGAGGAGGGCAGTGATGGAGCGGCTTTGGTGGGCACCTGGCATCAGCCAGGCTCAACCCACCACACTTAGTACAGCAGCTTTAATGCTTCTGGAACGCAGGAATTTCTGTCTTCAAACATGCCACCTTGTTTAAATCATGGCAAAATAACACGGGAAGTGAACAAGAATAACTGGAATTCTAGACAGCTTCAGGTTTACTCAGTTTAAACACTTTTAATATACATTTGTCTTTCAGAAGAGCCAAGTTGATCACTTCAGGGTTTTCTATTTGCATTCCTTCCTGCAGCCATTCCTTCCTGTAGACCAAGGTCGTGCATGTTGAGGGCAGCAGTAATGCTACTCTTGACAGTCTCAAAATCCTCATTTGTCTGCGGTTCTTGTTCAGTAATATGGTCACTGTACTGCAGGTAACTAAACCAAGCAAGAGGGCTTAATAAGTCCCTGAAGATACGTTGTTTTATCTTTCTGAGAGGGTCTTGAGGGTTCTTATGCCTTCAAGAATGAGGTTGTTGTGAGGGTTGGTTGACTATGCATACTGACAATGTCGAGATGTTTTCGTTTGAATATTTAAGGAGTTCTGTTGAAGAAAAACAATCTGATAATACTGCACTATGAAAATGATCATTACACAAATTCATTATACTTCAAAAAGATGCAAATAAATACCTTGAGTTTCACTTGTTTTACTCATACGGATTTACTATGGTTGCTTTGCTCCCTTTTATTTAACTTCTGACATTGTTTTTATTTTCTTTTCCAGTGGTCTTATTGTTCCTGAGAAAGACAGCAATGAAACAGTGCCAGAAGTTGTAGCTACTTCTGGATACGCTCTTCTACATTTCTTCAGTGATGCTGCCTATAATTTAACAGGGTTTAACATCACATATAAGTAAGTAGTATCGCTCCAAAGTGACATTGCAGGTTGAGCAAAAGGAGGTTTCCTCTTTTCTCAGTTTTGTCTTGAAATAAGCAATCGCCACTGAAGTGTGTAATTATGAGCAGATACTTGAATTTAGATTTTTATCGTTATTATATCCTTGCAATGGCTAATAACTGTAATGTGCTCAGCATTAACTTCAGTTGTCAGTTGTAGGCGTGGGCAACTGTTTGCTCAAAAAGACATGGTATTATTTATTATTTATTTTATGATATTAGACTTATTTGATCATGTTCACTCAAGGAGAATTGACGTATTTTGTGCATGTGTGTGCTCTTACGTATTCTGCAGAGATACTTCTGCACAAACATGCTTTCGCATAAGCACACACATTTCATTTGGGACAGTGGACTGTACCTACTGTTGAGGATCCTCAAGCAATTTTCTTTGGGATGCTCTTTCTTATTCAGTTCTTGGACTGAATTGCTTAATCTGCCTCCTTTTTAGTCTAGAATGGTTTTGTTATGAGACCCCCACTGCAGGGCTGCATCCACCTCTGGACCCCTCGGCACAGGAGAGACATAGACCTGTTGGAGCGGGGCCAGAGGAGGCCACCAAAATGCTCAGGAGGCTGGAACAGCTCTGCTGGGAGGACAGGCTGGGAGAGCTGGGGGGGCTCAGCCTGGAGCAGAGAAGGCTCCGGGGAGACCTTCCTGCAGCTGCCAGGGCTGAGAGGGACTGGGGAGAGAGATGGGGACAGGCTTTTTAGCAGGGCCTGTAGTGACAGGACAAAGGGTGATGGTTTTAAACTAAAAGAGGGCAGATTCAGACTAGATATAAGGAGGAAATGTTTCCCAATGAGGGTGGTGAAACCCTGGCCCAGGTTGCCCAGAGAGGTGGTAGATGCCCCATCCCTGGAAACATCCCAGGTCAGGTTGGATGGGGCTCTGAGCAACCCGCTCTAGTTGAAGATGTCCCTGCTCAGTGATGGGGAGTGGGACTAGATGGCCTTTGGAGGTCCCTTCCACCCCATACTATTCTATGATTCTATGTTATTTGGTTCATATTTCAAGTATCATAGGTGGGTGCTTTCTGTTCACTGACGTATATTTAGTCCTCATTCGTAGACTTTTTAGAAATAATTCTAGGGAACTCCCTAATTCATCGACTGCTTTTAGAAAGGTTTTGTTTTGAAATAAATGATCTCAGTATGGACATACTAGCAGAGGTGGAATTTCTTGCTTCTGATGGGGATCATGGGCTTTGAATTTTGGCTCCTACAGGTACAAAGTATGTTTGTGTTGTACTGGGAGATTTTAATTTGGGTGTAACTTGCAGAAGATACCAAAAATCAGCTGTAAAATAATTGGTCACAACTGACTTTTTGCAAGAATTGAAAGTTTTCCTTGAAATGAGGTGCTTAGTTTTTTGAATACCAGTCTTGAGCTTTCATCCTTATTAGGCACTTAAATATACAGTGGATTCTTTGAAAAATGCAGAACATTTAGCATCCCTTGAAAGCTCCAGAAGAAAATGAGGAGCCTTTGCAAAGTTACTTGAAACATTGCAGCTGAAGCAGTAGAATTTTGAAAGACTGGCTGATACCGTAAGCCATGTCACCATCTACTGCCAGCTGTCGGTGTTGCACCATTGCAATACAAGGGAGACCTTTTCTTGAAGGATGACTTGCTTTTTTAAGTTCCTTTGAAGTATTTTAATATTTCTTTAACTCCTCGCTTTCTTGATCATTTCAAACAATTTCCAAGTACTGTTTCGTGTTTTGTTTCTTTTACGTGTTCTGGTCGTTAAGCTTCCTCTGAACATTTTTACAGTGAGTAGATAAAAGGGTATATTTATTTCATTTAAGTTTAACAGTCTTTATAGTTACTACTGGACTTAGGCACTCAAAAAACACTTTTGAAATTATGGTCTTGGAGCCAGTGACTTCACTTGTCACATGACAGCGAGAATATTGAGTAGTAATCCCCATCTGGAAGTTATACCAGTTGATACACTGGCAAAAACTGGAATTTGGAAATGAATAGGGTGTCTGAATTTGGATCTTCACCAAGGATGTATCTAGTTTTGCCTCAGCTACATTGCAGATATTATAAAATCAGAAATGATTCAACACAGGCACATCTTTGGCTTGGGATTCATCTCAAGTGTGTTTCTTTGGTAAGCAAATCCCAGAATAGCATGTAATCGCGAGTAGTTTAACTATAAATTGCACAGACACCACAAAAGCCGTAAGTGCTGATTAAGTTCTTCGCTTACTGTTGGGTGTTTTAAGGCAATTCATTTACATTACAAATGGCTAAAAAGCATATTGATAATTTCTTCAAAGGAGTTGTAAGTTTAACTCATTAAGTGGGACAGCTCTGTAGATGATAGACAGCGAACAAATCTCTAGAAGTCCATCACATCAGGTTCGAGTTGAGTGGCTCTCGTTGGTTTGTATGTTAACCAACAGCTGTATTAACTTCCGTTCAATATGGCTCTTGTATTTGTTAATAAGAGGTACGACTTGGGAATCAGCTTCGTTACTGACACACTTTCTTTCCCTGATGTTCACAGTTTCGATATGTGTCCCAATAATTGCTCCGGCCGCGGAGAGTGCAAGCTCAATAACAGCAGCAACACTCTTGAATGTGAATGTGCCAAATACTGGAAGGGAGAAGCTTGTGATATTCCCTACTGCACAGATGACTGTGGGAAGCCCGAGAGAGGGCATTGCAACTTTAATGATACTAAGGCATGTTTGTGCTCTGCAGGCTGGCAAGGTAAGTCTCCTGATTAATGTGGAGAAACTCTTGTTAAGAGGTTGCCTTTTCTATGTATGGCTCTTGCAGTTTAATTGAGAGTGTTTGAGAATGTTCCACTTGACAAGTATTAGCATTTTTACTAGGAATCTACCTTTTTCTATCAAAAGATCATACCTCATTTGTAACAAATGCTTTTAAAAGCAGTTAAGCTACCGTACACAGCAGTACCAACCTGGTGTGTGCAGGCAGCAGATAAAAACTTTCAACCTCGTTCCTGTGCACCTAAAGCAAATTTGAGCCTAGTGGCAGTAGATAAGCTTTTTGAACATACGGAATGCCTTGTTCGTCAGCCATGTCAGTCTGAGCAATGGTTTGGACCAAACATACCTGTTTCCTTTGCAAAGATACACTGACATGGAAGAATTAGTCTCATGTGAAATACAACCAGCTACAGCACTGGCTGCCATGACTCAGCTATGCTGCAAAACCAGACAGTGTGTTAGGCACTGTGGAAAGAATCCCAAATGAGTATCGTAAGGAAAATGCAGCCAGTACTGAGGTTAGCATGTCTGCCTCTTGGATATAAAATCAGCTACAGGTAACATACTTCAGGGCTGGAAGACGACATCCCCTTATGCAGTGCAGTGCCTCCTGACGCTTTTCTGGAGTCTGGTTGTGCACTGACAACCAAGATGGGCATAAGTTTGCTCAGTTTTTATCCTAGCCCTGTTTTTTCCTCTTTTATTTCTGTAGCAGGTTAGTGTGTTAAGGCAAAAAAAAAAAAAAAAAATCCCAAACCGAAACAACTCACCAAAAAAACCACCCAAAAACCACAAAGCCCCCAAACAAACCATAGCAGAATGAGATGCAAGTTGCTCTCCTCTTTCTTACTCTGAATCTTCTTCACATCTGAAAGTGATCACTCTTCCTGAGAAACCAGGAGTTTTTCAAGGGTGATAAACCAGACTCCAGTCTGCTTTCTTGAACTGGAGATTACTGCTGGTAGAAACTCAGCAAGAACAAGCAGATACTGTCCTTTACAGTCGAGACCACAACTCTGTTACACAGTGATTCACTTTATTGACTGACTAAAGGATATCCTGATAAACCTATTCCCTTTTCAAGGCTTGAGCCTCTTCAGCAGGTTCTGTGCTCTCTGTTGTCTGTAGTAACCCTGTGTGTGTGGATAGGTGTTGCTGAGAAGGAGAGCATCCATGTGGCTTTTTACTTTGCTGAGACCCTGCTGCTTGCTGCTCCTCTTCTGCCACACCGTGGGGAACTGCGAAGAGAAGCCTGGCAGTGAAAAAGTTGGTTTAAGAGCAGCAGAAATATGGGAAAAAATAAGAAGTGAACAATTCACAAAAACATATTGCTGGGAAGGAGAGGAATGAAAAGAGGGAGAGAGAGCCATAGACCCTTGGGTTTTTACAGCATGCAGTTGAGCAGGTCTTCTGAAGCTTTTGGAGGTTGTGTTGGGGCTTCTATGGGCACATGGTTGCAAGGGAAGTGCTGGAAGATCCCCTCTTAGTGTGGAGTGGGAAGGGGTCTGCATCGTGCCCCCTTGTAAATCATAGTGGGGAGAATGGAGCAGAATGTCTGCTTTGCTGCATCCCTGATTCACCTAGTCTGGAACTGCTTTTTAGTTCTGAAAACAATTTTGAATTTGAAGTATCCGGTTATGGCTGGGACGCCACACACCGGGTCCATCACAGACTGCTGGTGTGGGCAAAGAAATGAAGATCACAGCTTCCATCTCTTACCTGGCCGTGCACTGTCTTTGTCATCTGTGGTGCAAGATGTTGACCTCTAGCTGAAATACAGTCTTTGCAAGAATCAACTCAATTTTTAAACCTTATTTTCCCAGGTCCTGGCTGTTCAATTCCTGTTCCTGCAAACCAGACATTTTGGACCCGGGAAGAATATTCTCTTCCAAAACTTCCTAGAGCATCTCACAAAACTGTAATCCATGACAATAAAATGTGGATTGTTGGAGGTTATGTCTTCAATCATTCTGACTCTCAGAAGGTTTTAGCGTGAGTATAAACCTAGATAATAAAGTCTGAGTAGAGGAACTTAGATTTGAGAATTATTTTTAGAAAATGTCATCTGACATGCTATGCTTTGGCCTACACTCATTCTCCAGGGGAAGGCAGCAGTATCGAAAACTTAGATTCACATTTGAGATGTGGGAAAACGCTGCTAAAGAGTGCTAATTTTGGAACAGAAAAATCATGAGGTTCCTGATGTTCAGTGAATTTTTTATTAATCTGCTTCTGACAGCATTTAACTATTAACTATATATTTCTAGGCTAGCTTCTAAATTATATCTGGCCTCATGTTCAAAGAGGGTAGTTTTGCTTCAGTGTTGTTAGCCCTTCTTTATATTATATCTGTGTGACTTCAGAGTGTTTGGCTCCTCAGTTACTCCTCAATACTAATTACTGTGCATGTTTATGCATAGTGGATGGGATACCAAACAGGGAGTGGCATTTAGGATGGTGACATCTATGCAATTAGTTGAGGAGATTTAACAGTAACTAAGATATCAAATAGTAATTGTGTACCTCATGGAAATTCCCCATAAAAAACACTTCAGGCTTCCTCTTGAGCTTGATAGTATTTGGGCAGATCTAGGCAAAAGCTGGATTTTTTTTTTCCCAGGGATACGTGCGAGAGCTGTGTGTTCTCCACTCGTGTCCAGACGTAGTAGTTCTTGTAGGGGAAGTTAAAGAAGAGCTGAAAAAGCCCACTTAGTTGTAGAATAGTTGCTGATGACCTCCCCAATTTACTGTTTCCAAGTCATGCTTGATTTTTCAACAGATACCCTATGGCTTCATTGAACACTTTCGTAGAGATGATTTTATCTTACAGGCTGTAAGCCTGGTGAGTGTAGTTCAATCTTTTATCTGAAAAACCACAGGCTGTTTTCAGGGCAAAGGGTTTATCTTGGTTCAATTTCACAGCAAAAATATGCTTGAATGACAAAGACGTAATCAAAAAATGCCTTTTAAACACTGGCAGTTTTTTTTTATTATGATCAAGTAGTTGGAACTTGTCTGAGATAAGCGTAAAGTTTTTCTGCTCTTTTGGGTGGATCATGTCATGTAAGTTCTCATAGCCTAATAGACAATGCATTAGCTCTTGGTTTTGCATGGGAAAGAAAACTCAGGGTAAAGCAAATCAATACATGGACGTTAAGTTATAGAGGAGGCTTGACAGGATTTTTTTTATTCCATGAGTAATCTGTGCATGCTTTGTGCATGCTGAAATCTTGGTGCCTAGGACTTCTGTTAAATAATTTCCCACAATTCCAGGAAAGGATGAGCAATAATTTTCTCAACTTTCATATCTACTTCTTGGGAAATTAATTCAATTTTTATTATACAGGTATGATCTTATTTCTGAAGAGTGGCTTCCACTGGACAACACTGTGAACTCAGTAGAGATGAGATATGGTCATTCGCTGGCATTACATAAGGTAAATTCATTGCTGTAGACTCGCCTCCTGGCTAATTTCTCCCTCTGCGCCCAACCCTTTCCACAGATCAGTCTTGCTTTGTGAGAAGCGTTTCTCCTTCAAAGGCTTGTCAGTGGACATCCCGGTCTGTGTCATTGTACTCCAGGGAGTCCTTGGACTGGTATTTGAGGAAGTCTGTAGTTCCTTTGCCTGTGTGTTCCTTCTTTCCCTTTATCTCAGAGATTTTAAGGCTGACTGAAGTCGTTGAGTCCAGTTTTTCCTTCTTGCTGTCTGTGCTTGCAAGGCATGCCTCATGGCTGGAGTTTGCTGGAGTTCAGCTGGTTCCCCAACTGCCTTTTGTGTAGACTACATACGTATTTTTATGAGCTCTGCTGTCCAAGGCACCAAAGCAGAGCTGGTGAATTAGGGATTTTTGGAGCCTGCTCTGCTTCTGCAGTAGACCCGTGAAGCTGTTCTTCCAGCATCTGAAACGGCAAGTGGATTTGACTGTTTCTTACCTAATTTCTTGTCTGCATGCCTTGCTGTGGGTGCAGGCCACATGAGAGCAGAATGGCAAAGTCTTTGAAAAGGAAATGAGCTAATCGTTTACTGACCTTTGGTTTCGGAATGTTAATTAGCTCATTACTGTGCAAGCCTATATACAGCATAATTATAAACACCTGAAAAACTCCACACAGCGCCATTCACAAACAGAACACTTGAAGAACCTGAGAAGGATGGAAATTCCTACCTACGAGGGCTCAATGTGCAGTCTGCAAATAACTGTTCAAAAGTAGGGTACAATTCAAAAGAACGATCGTGTCCAAAGAAGGGCAGTGAAGCTGGTGAAGGATCTAAAGCCCAGGTCTTATGAGGAGCGGCTGAGGGAACTGGGGTTGTTTCGCCGGGAGAAAAGGAGGCTGAGGAGAGACCTCATAGCTCTCTACAACTACCTGAAAGGAGGTTGTGGTAAGGTGGTTGTCAGTCTCTTCTCCCAAGTAACAAGCGACAGAACAAGAGGAAACAGCCTCAGGTTGCACCAGGAGAAGTTTAGATTGGATATTGGGAAAAATTTCTTCACCGAAAGTGTTGTCAAGCATTGGAACAGGCTGCCCAGGGCAGTGGTGGAGTCACCATCCCCAGAGGTATTTAAAAGATGTGTAGATGTGGTGGTTAGGGACATGGTGTAGTGGTGGACTTGGCAGTGTTAGGTTAACATTTGGATTCAATGATCTTAAAGGTCTTTTCCAACCTAAATGATAAGTGGGTTTACTGTCAGTGACGGACAATGGTTCTCAGGAATTTCCCAAGAAGCACCAGCTATAGTGGAGAATTTCCCTTTCCAAGGTTACCGCCTTGTCAGTAGGGAAATAGGGCTCCACTGCACACTTTGGTGGATTCATGACTGACTCTCAGATGCCTGGAGAAGCCCACAAAGGAAACTGGATGGAGTTTTGGAACATAGCTCTTACAGGATGATTAAAAAAACCCTGTCTAACTCTCCTGGCTCCCTTCTTTCCAAAGGATGCTCATTTTTTTGTCAGTGCATTAACTTGGAAGACAAAGCTTTTAGTGTACAGACACAGAGCAGTTTCCGTCATAACTGCCTTTCTTCCCAGCTGTCTTCTGCTGTTGGCATTTGCAAGCTATGGGAGGGGGATTCCACTTGCTTACTAAATTCAGTTCCAGGGATGCGGATGTCCCCAAGGTCAGGGTAGGGCTTTGAACAAGCTGGTCTAGCAGAAGGTTAGGTGAGTTAGATGATGATCATGATTCTGTGATTCTGAATCACCTGCCTTCAGGTGCCGAACTTTGTGTGCCTTTGGGAGCCTCTGAGCTCCATTTATAGTGAAAACAGACCAAGTCAGTGCAGGTAGTGAAATCTCAGAATCACAGCATAGTTTGGATTGGAAGGGACCTTTAAAGGCCATCTACTCCAAACCCCTGTAATGAGCAGGGACATCTTCAACTAGGTCAGGAGATCTGGAAAGCAAGTCAGCTCACCCAAAAGTAGGCACACCTCTGCTTTTGATGAGTTGAATGATGCTGCAGGCTCCACTGTATTTTATATATGTATTTAGGCATTCAGCTAGCGTACAGGCACCTAAATTTTGATGAATGTCATCTGAAGATCAGTCCTGCCCCATGCACCCCTTCCACTCCGTACCCTGATGTAGGGTGAATTGCGTGTGTTGAAAGTATTCTTGACGTTACAGCCTTCAGTACAAACCCTGGCAGTTGTGATTGCTTTCATATCAAATGTGACTGGTGAAGGGGATATGTTTCTCCTTGAGAAAGGAGAAGAACTTAGTCTGAGAGAAGGTAAAGTACAATACCTTCATTACTTGTGTATTAGCTGTTACCTAAATGCTAAACTTCGTTGGCTTCATTTTAAATCTAACTTCTTTCAGGATGATATATACATGTATGGTGGAAAAATAGATGCGACGGGGAACGTGACCAGCCAGCTGTGGGTGTTCCACATTCCCGACCGGACCTGGGCTCAAGTGACACCAAAAGCCAAGGAGCAGTATGCTGTTGTTGGCCACTCGGCCCACATCGTCACCCTGCAAGACGGCAGCGCGGTCATGCTTATTATCTTTGGGCATTGTCCTCTTTATGGGTATATCAGCAATGTCCAGGAATACAACCTGGGTGAGTAGAGCCCTACCTACCATTCGCTTCGGTTTTAACAGTTGGTTTGAAAATTATTTAAACGATCCATATTCCCATAGCAAAACAAAGACAGGTATGTTCTCCTTCTTTTTGTATTTATGAGATGTCCAATGTAACCTCCAGTGTTTGTGTGACACAAACAGTGCATGGGCAGCCATGTGCCTCCAACTTTATACAGCTTGTTAGGTCTGAAAGAGGAAAAAAGCTGTAGTGGAAAGGCAAAGGAGGATAACTGTGGGACAGTTTAGATTAATTTTCCTCTCTCCCTCTGACAAAGCAAACACTTCTGAAAATGTTTTTGTAACCTGCAAATACAAGAATGGCTGTAAGAATTCAGACCAGGTATCCAGTTAACCTGATACCCCTGTCTCCAGCAGTGGTGCTTAGCCCATGCTTAGGGGAACAGGGAATGAATTTCTGGACTCCCATATCTGTGATATGATTGGGTCCCCATATCTCTGGGGATAGTCCATGCTCTGATTTTAGGGTCCAGAGATTTCAAGTATCACCAGTTCTCCAGATGACCTGAACTTCTACCTAACTTAGCTGCCCTGAAATGGCTCTCTGGAGGCATGTCCCAGTGACCAGGTAGAGAACATAGTTAAGCACAGGTAGTTAACAACGTGAATGTGCTTGTTATTGTCAGAAATACTGGCCCTATCTGCACTTCTGGCCTGTTATCCTTGTCCTTCAGTCACCTTGATCCAGAGAATCTACTGGAGCCTACTGTGGTTCACTGGTATCCACCTGAGCAAGATTTCTTCCTCTAGGAGAAAGCTAGAGAAAAGCAGGGTGTGTGGGGCAGTGATTTGTCCTGTCCTGTTTTTGCCACGTGTGATCTTGCAGGCTGTTAAATTCCTTTGCCTTTTGTGTACCTGATGTGCTCTGGAGTTAGGAAGCCTGTGTAGGGTTTCATTCTGCACTTGCTACAGAAAATTGGTGTGTAATTTGGCATTTTTGTTTCACTTGCCATTATATTATGTCTAGAGTGCTTCAAACCAATGTTATTTTAGTGAGAGAGATATAGGGCCATTAATCGCATATTAATGTTTAACTGCAGTGTTCTTCAGTCATACTTAACTTGGCTTCAGTGCTGTCTGTCTGTGTGTGTGTGTATATATATATCAAAAAGTGCTTCTGGATACCATTCCAAATGAAGCCATGGTGCTAGCATCTTCATGTCATTGAAATGCAATATACTATTTCTGTACAATACATTATTTCTGTACTTTTTATCTCTCATTTACTTAGCTTGTCTGCAAAATGTAATAAATGACTGTAGAGGAGATATTTCTGGTCTAATTAAAAATACTTGACAATACTTCTTGACAACAAACTCCTTGAAGGAGAATATTTTTGGTTATGAAGTGGTAGACACAGTCTCTAGATCTGAGTCAAGGGAAACACAATTTGTTTCACTATGAGATTTGTTGATAAGTTATTAATGGAGAGAAATTAATCATGTTTTGTCACTCACATTTTTCATTCTCAGCCACAAATACATGGAACGTTTTACAGACAAGCGGAGCTTTGGTGCAAGGAGGATACGGTCACAGTAGTGTTTATGATCTGAATACAAGATCAATCTATATCCATGGAGGTTACAAAGCATTCAGTGCCAACAAATACAGGCTAGCAGATGACTTGTACAAATATGAAGTTGATTCCCGTATGTGGTAAGTAGTTCTTCGTCCCATATACCACGTTCTTGTTTGCAGTGGACAAGAGGATGGGGCATTTGATAAGGGTACAGTAGTATGTAGTAACCTGCATTCAGGATAGATAGTGTGCTCTGGTATCTGTTCTTTTCATGTCCCTTTATGGATAGAGAATCATAGAATCACATATAATCAAGGCTGTGAATGAGCTAAGAAATCCATTTTAATCTATTGTATTAAAGCTGAAAAGAAAAATATTTGATGGGATTTTCTTGCCAGCAGTACAGACTGTGCATATGAGCGCAGTTACTGCAGTCAAGTGAGTGATAAGTCATTCTGCAGTTAAGACTGCAAAAGAATTTCTGTTATAACCCCATTTTCTTCTGGCTCTGTAACTGCTTGAAATGTTCATTTCTATAAGCTGACATCTTCTGTTATTTGTTTCTGCCCAAAGGTGAGTTTTATTTAAAAGCTATAGCAAAACTTCACAACTTTGAGCTATAGAGGTGAAATACATCCTCCTCAATTTTTCTTAAAGTTGTTCTTAAAGGCATTTCACAAAAAGGAGACTGTCTTTTGAATTCACACATACCAATTTGAGTCACCATATCGCGTTTTTTTGAGAGTTTAAAATAGTTTGTATTTCTGCAGCAACTGTTTGTGAGTCTATACTGATGAGTGAAGTAACTAGTGACTAATGTCCAAAAACCTTCCTTCCTGCTCTCCTACATGCAGTAACAACCATGCTTCCTTTCTTGGTTCACTTGATCCTCCACTTCAGCCGTGGAGCAGACAAATCTGGCTGAATAGGCAGAAAATGTCACAAATGTGACAATATTCTTCCGAACTGCTGTAGCACCAACTTCCTCTTGTCATGTTTATTTTGTCAGTCTCGAGAGGACTGTCGGAGCAGGCGAGCACGCGCGTCGCACTGAGGCGCGTAGGAGTGTCTGCTCATCATTATCTATCCTTCTTTTTTTGTTGTTCTTTGGTAATTTAGACCCTCTCTCCCTCTTGTGATTTCATGGAAGGGCAAAAAAAAAAAGCAGTTCCCTGATCTTTCTTTTGGCTAGTGTGTTTCTTCCTGTGTTCCCTCCGGTGTTTCGACTGGCAGCTTTGCAAGTCTGACGCCGTGGCCCTGGCAGGGACAGAGTAACGCTCAGAAAGCCCCTGTCCGCTGCGATGCCGCCGCTCATGCCTGGGGAGCGGGTCCCTGCTCCAGCGCGTTGATCTGTCATTTGCTGAATATTTTATTGTGAAAGTCTGGGCTTCAGCGCAAGCTGCGTTGGGGATGCTGCCGCCCTGCAGACCTGGTGGGACAGCCTGCAAACGGTGACACCGCTGCCTGTGACACAGGTGTGGCTGCGTTGGGGTTTTCCGGCAGTCCCACCCGCTCAAAAGAGTAGGGAAATTCTCCAAAGGGTGACCCTGTGGCTACGGTGCTGTTAATCATGCTGATGAAAGGTGAGGTCAGTGGAAAGTATGATTGATGCTGCTTATGATTAAGTCATGGATGAGGCGTTGAGTTTTGCAGGTATTAAGCTGCGGGGCTCCATTAGCAGCAGCTGCAGAGGTTTCCTTAAAATAGGTTTCTTAGTTGTGGGAAAGAGATGATGCCCGGTTTGAAAGAATTCTTTACATTACTATAAAATATAGGAGTCTTCCCAGGCAGTGTCCATATTGGCAGGTTTAGCTGGCTATGCTCAAAAGCCCAGTTAGTGTGAAAACCTGATAATCCCTAGGGAAGGGATTTTGATGGTTTTAAGACCATAGCTTTGGAAAGAGGCTTTCATAGGTATATTTCTCCTATAAATTGGGAAGCAGATGGGAAGATGAGAGAATGAAATTATAGGAGCAATTGAACAGTCTGGAAAGGAAGTTGTTGAATATCTCATTAGGAGAAGTAGTTAAATGCTACCCCCTCTCCTTCTCCCCACATCTCCGAAACCTTTAACTTGGATTTGTGAATTGTTTTGTCTTTGCCAGGTACTCTTCAGTTTCAGTAATACATATATTTTTATTTCTGAAGGACTATTCTTAAAGACAGTAGATTTTTTCGCTATTTGCACACGGCCGTGATAATGAGTGGAACCATGCTGGTGTTTGGAGGAAACACGCACAACGACACCTCCATGAGCCACGGTGCAAAGTGCTTTTCTTCAGATTTCATGGCGTATGATATTGGTGAGTTCTTGCAGAAATGATAATAATAAAAAATCTTGGATATTCAAACAGAGCTGTCTTCAAGAAGACTAATTCACGTGCTGGGTATATTATACCAAATGCTACTAAGCATACTGCAGAAGAATGTGTAATCAGGAGAGGCTCGTTTAGCTTGCTGCACATTACCAAGCAAATGAGCGGTGCAGCGATTTCTAGGCAAATAACAGCAGCAGTTATTTGGTCAACAGTTTATACACAACCTTGGGCATTAAAAATTACTCCTTAAACAGAAAACATGTTGTTCTACCATCTCGGCCATAAAGCTATCCTGATATTTTGAGTATGTTTTAATCTCTGATTAATCAAAAAGGCAGGCTGTTAGGACAGTTACAAGCACTGGCCACTGCTGAAGCTCAACTTGTACGTTGCACGCTCTTGTTTTAACTGCAAGCTGGCTGACTTGTTTGGCTGTGCTGTTTGTAATATCAGCTTGTTTATATGTACGTTTTATAAGCATAAATATCCCCATAAGCACTATTTAACAGTAAAGCCAAACGATTAGATTTTATTCGGAAGGATTGGGTTTTGATGAGTTTGAATAGCCAGAAGAGGGCAGCGTTTCTTTGTGAATTTGGAGGCCAGAGACAATGCGTTTAAGAAGAAAAGAAAAAGAGAAAAAGAGATGGAATTATATAAAAGAAGGTGCATGAACATCCAGATAATTCATGCTGGAGAAAAATACCATTCTGTACTCATTCTGCCTTCTGCTCTTGGAATTCCTTAAAGGTAGGCTCTCGTGATTGATTCCTTGAAATAAACATGTAAGCCTAAATTCTCGGAGTGACTGTCCACTGAGATGTCACTCCTGGTTTGTGAAAGGAATGTGCAAGCAAATGGATTACTTTCAGCAGCAGCAGGATTCGGCATCCTTGTGCTATTTTGCTGTCTGTTACAGGGATCGTTCCCTTCTGCTTCCTGTGATTTCAAGTCATATTCCTGTCAAATTTATTATACGCCCCTAACCAGCTTTATTTTGAGTTTTTTCCTTGAAGAATTAAAACGAGGTATTTCGACCGTCATGGACAGAGTAATTTTTTTTAAACTTTGATAGCAATAGTGATAGATTTTTCTTGCTATATTTTGCTATCTTCTCCAACCTATTTGAACTGTCGATTAGGTGTAAGCCTCAAATTGCATTAATTTGACAAAATATGCCAATAATGATGTTCATTTTGATTCCGTTTAGTTCCTGTTATGTGAAATAAGCATTGTAGTCAACTTGCCCAGTCCTTACCAGTTTTACACCAAGAATTAGAGCTTGCATTGCTTGCATTTCACATGACAGGGATGAGAGGGGTTCTGCTGCTCTTGGGTACTTTCAGTCCTTAGGGCAGAGACTCTCAGGCTGGAAATAACAGCTTTTTTCCAGAAGAAAAAAAATGTTTCTTTTTTCTTCTCTTCTCATGGCAGGGCACCTTTCTTTGCCTTATCCCATTGGACCAGGAGCACTACCAGGAATATGCTAGCGTGCTGGCTGATAGTTAGTGTCTATCAGAAACAGAAACACCTTCCTGTGGTTTTTGAACAATGTCAGCAGTAATTATATTGGGTTTTCATGGGAATAAGCCCATATATTTTGCGGAAGCATTGTAAATATCAAAGCTTATTGTGGTCATGGCACCACAGATGGATATGGCTATCACATCTTTAATATTAACATGCTTATGTGTTTGTTATCTATACCTTGATGCTCCCAAGGCTCAAGCTACCCAGAAGAAAACCAAGCAGCAAGGTCAATTGGTACTGAGTGCCTTCGGAGGAGAGGCGTAGTCATTGGCTCTCTTAGCATACTGTAGAAGTAGGGAGTATCTGGCTAATTTGCTCATTTTTAACATCTTGTTGAAGAAGGTAATATCTTAGTGATCATAGTGATGGTTGGATGACTGCAGAAAACAGAAATTAAAATGCAGTCTAAAATAAAGGCTTCAAAAACAGGTGTTTATAGAATCATAGAATCTTTGGGTTGAAAGGGATCTTTTAAGGCCATCTAGTCCAAGCCCCTTGCAATGAGCAGGGACAACTTCAACTCGAGCAGGTTGCCTGTCCAACCTGACCTTGAATGTTTCCAGGGATGGGGCATCTACCACCTCTCCAGGCAACCTCTGCCAGGGTTGAAGTCTTCTCTTTAACCTTTGCCATTAAAACTTATTTCTGCAGTAATTTGTTTTATTTACCATGTCAAATTTTTCTGGTTTTCTCTCTCCAAATTTCCAAGTAATCAGATTACATGCGTTGAGTGTTGTGAGGACATATTATCATCTTTTTTGTGTGTGTAGGATGCAAACAGATGTCACAGAGATGTGTGCTAAGATTCTCTGGAAGTTTAGCAGATTAGGTAGATCTGAGAATGCATTAATGCTTCTCATCCTTTTATCCTCTACTTGACCAAGTTGGGACTTATTCAGTCAAAATTGTCCAGGTGATGCCCAGTTTTGGAAGCTTTTAGGATAGCAATCCAGCTCTCTGTGTGCGTTTGCATTTCTTGTTGCTTTTCAGGACAAGCTTTTGGACTATGTTCGCGTTCAGGTTGGGTGAGCACTTGGGTTGAAGAGTCTCTCAGTATTTTCCCTACTCTCTGCATGCTGCAATGACTAGTTAGCACTTCCTATCCCCAAAATTGGTCTCTCTGGCCTTCTGTAGAAGAGTTTCCTGCTCTGCAGCTGTTTTGTCTCTGGGCGTACAAATGCCTAACTTGAATCCTCTACCTCCTCCTCTCAACAATTCATAGTAGCAAAGGAACCACGTGTGAGTGGCAGCCCTTCCATCGCTAGATGTTCACCTCCAGGAGTGAAAAGGCAAGGTTCATGCTTTCCGAAGGGTCATGTCCCTCGCACATGGGATGTGTCTAAAAGAAGAATTGAAACTTCACAGGCAGAACTGTCTCAAAATGTAGTTACTGGGGTTTAAGTAACTGTTCTTCTCCATTTCTAAATAAGTTTTAACTTTGGGTTTTTGTTTTTTTTAAATCAGTATGAAATGTTCCTGTAAAGGCTATACTCCTACAATGATCTTTTGTCCCCACAGGAGAGAAATTAAAACTCTTCTATTTTACAAAAATTCACTTCTGATGACAAACATAAAAAGAGGCTGGATGTTTTCATAGCACGTGTGTTCCATTTGAATGGTTTATTTAATAAATCCTGTGCATTGTAAGTTTTAGGCTTGGGTTAACTCATAAGTCAGGAAGGAGAGGATTCTTTATATTTTCAGAATCATTCATTTTTTCCAATACTTGATCTTCAGTTAAACATGGGAAAGAAGCTTAGAAAGCAAAACATTCCAGGCCCTCTATTAATCTAGAAAAATATGTTTCTTGGCCTCACATAACTCACAACTTGCTGGATAAAAAATTGAAAAGTCCTGTCCAATTTTGTGGAAGTTGCATGTTAAAAATGGGAGCCATGCATGCTTGTCTCAGGAGTGATGCTGGACTAGGTTAAATTCTTTGAGAATCTAGCAAATGGTGTTTAAAAACAAACTTAAAAATCATGATTTAGCCAAGTAATAAATCTAGCCAACTGGGTGCTATGTCTTTTATTTATCAGCACTCTTGAACAGAAGTTTCTGCTGGAGCAGAGGTTAAGACAGTTGTCTTACCCAAAAATTCCCCAATTAAATTTGGTGAAAAATTAGTAAGGTTGTTTTTCTTTTCTCTCTGACTTAATTTACATACTAGTTTGGGTTTGTGGATGTTTTTTCTGAGGCTCAGTCCATGGCACAACAGTTTTATCTTGTATTAAATCATCTGAGTATTTGAGTGCTCTGTAGATTTTTAGAGCAGATTGACTTTTCTGTCTTAATTGCATAAATTGCATACAGCTGCCTCTGGGACATTAGCCCCCAAGGTGATCCCATTCACTTGGTGAAGTTCAAGTGATATAAATTGTACTGACTTTTCCTGCTTTTTTTCCTTTGATTGCTCAGTAGGTTATATGTTTCTTAGCTTGTTTTTTTCATCTTGACTAAAGGAAGAAATTACCTGAGAAACCAAGTAAAAAATGAAGCCGAACTTATAAATGTTATGCTAATAGAAAAAGATGGAATAATCTCACATTATATTAAAAGAGAAAAACAACCACAAATCCTTAAGCTATGACGAGTAAAAAATAGTTTTAAAAACATGGATATCTACCCTCTAGGAACGTAATTGCAATGGAAAAAGAAAAAAGATAAGTCTCTGTTCTCAGTGATACTGGTTTGGAGCAAAACTGCAAATAATTCGCATAGAAACAGATAAAACTGAACTTGTTACACAGTGAAAAATTTCACTAGTAAAGGAGAAAAAGCCACTCAAGCCACCACCATTTAATTACACGTGATGGCCAACAAAGTTGATAACCCCTTCAGCACAGTGCCCTGAAACTTTCCTTTTTCATGAACTGTTTAGGTGATGGAGCAGAGCCATTACATCGTTCTGTTCCTTTTTTGTCATGCCATAGCGGCTGGGGTGAAGACTAAGCCTTAAATCTTGCAAAAGGACATAACGCAGCACTTTCTTAAACTGTCCTGTTTCACTCAAGATTTATGTTCTGGTGGTGGGCGGAACGGTCGCTCTATAGTTATTGAAGTACTTTGGGATCTTTCAGGAAGAAATGTGCTACATAAGTTGAGTCAGTAATTATACAGAGAAACGTTTCTGAAATGAGCTGTCTTTAATCCTAGCGTGCGATCGGTGGTCTGTTCTTCCTCGCCCAAGTCTCCATCACGATGTGAACAGGTTTGGACATTCTGCCGTGCTCTACAACAGGTAAGGCTACAACCAACCTGGGGGGTATTGGCATTTTTCATACCTCAGTAAACTTATACACCCGTGTGTGTCGGTGCACATGGTGTGTTGATACATGTACATCAGTAACATTGAGACCAGAGGTTGAGGATCCGTTGCAAGCCTCTTGAAATTCTCAGACCTTCGTTCTTGTAATGTCTTCAGTATCCACCTGTACCTGTTAGCCCTTTTTCATTGGACTAAACTGTCTCAGCTCACTTCTTTCAAAATTTTATTTTTTCATATTTCTGTTCCTTTTTCTAAGTTTATATATATTTCTATTTCTTAGTAATCTCGTAATTTCATATATTTCATATTTCTGTTTCTTACTTAGCTGCACTGATAACTTTTATCTCCAAATCGTACTTTCCCTCATGGTTTCTAAATTTGTCCATGTTTCAGTTTATGTAGCTTATCCTCTATGGCTCTTTTTTACCGTTCACGTGATGTACAGTATTTAGATGAAATTACGGATGAGTTTTCTGCTGTTCAGCATTATATCGCTGTAATAATATCTGTGCTCTCAGGTGAACATCTGTTAGTGTATTTGAGTCTGCAGAACCAAGTTTGAGAGGTGACATTTCTTAAGAGTCTTTTGTTCTGGTTCCTTTATCCTTTGAGATACTTTCTGTAAATCAGTAACAGTATATAAAGCTCAGTTTAAGCCAGGCAGATAACTGTCACTGCCTTGAAAAGGAAGGTGTGCTTCTAGATACTCGTTTTGTCTCTAAAATCTCATTCACTATCTATTTGTTTCAGTATATACTGAATACCAGTGATATGTTTGCTCCCATGAAGGACAATTAAGCCCATGCTTTAGTTCTTTCCTAACCTATGGTGAAAAACATATTAAAAATACTTATTATTCAACCTAAACTTTTATTCAGTTGCATTGATTCTTCTTCACTGTCTTATTAAATGTACGTTTACAAACATGGATGCACAGGTTTTTTTGGGTAACTGATGAAATACGATGTTTTGCCTGAAGCAGTTGTGATACTAAAGAAGGTTTAAAAAAACCACCTTCATCCTCCTGCCCCCCAATATTCTTTTGTTTTGGGGTTGTGTTTTTTTAATTGACACAATGACTCTTTGCTCAGTTGCTAACAGCCATGAAAATAACTGTGGTTTTGTCACAGCGGTGTAGCAAGATGTGACAACACTGAATTGTTTTGTCACAGTTTCTGAACACTGGTTTAACGGTGTGATACCGTGTCCCCGGTTTTTAGCCTTCCTCTCTCTCTTGCCACTGTTCTTTACAGGAGGATCCCACATTTCTGCAGCGTTTCATGTATAGTCACGCTGATCAGGTGTCACCCAGAGTTTTGGCTGAAGGGGAAGGTCAGACCATGCCCTTGGAATGGTTTGACTCTGACTCTCTGGCTTCTCTGAAACAGTGGAAGTTGACTGACCTTTTCATTAGTGCCTTCCTTAACCAAGAGCTATTTATTTGGTTTTACACATGCTGGAATGTAATAAAACATGTTGCTCACACCTTGAATCAAATTGACCTGCAGGAGCGCATGGTCTGTAAACACAGGCAAAAATATTTATATCTTTACTTACATTTTTGTCTAGCACCATGTACGTATTTGGAGGCTTCAACAGCCTCCTCCTCAGTGACATACTGAAGTACACACCCGAGAGATGTGAAGCTTTTGACAACGAAACGGCTTGCTTGCAAGCAGGTCCAGTCGTCAGATGCGTGTGGGCTGCCAGCCCTCCTCACTGCGTCCCCTGGGAAATGGCGACGGTAGAGCAGCAGCAAAAGGTCTTTGAAGACTGCCCTCCCAAGCCAGGTATGTGTCATGTTCTTTCCCTGTCCCTCTCCGAAAGGTGTGTAGGGTCTTTTTCTTTTCCAGATTCTGTCTTGTGTTAGTTGTATGCCTTTAGCAGATCAGGTTCAAGATGGGGGGCTGTAGTTGTGCTTCCATATGTGCTCTGGGAGACCTTCCTCTGACCAACTGGCTGCAATGACATGGAGATGTTTCCATCTCTCACTCACCCTGAAGCTGGTTGCTCATTAAATTTTTTTTTCCTACTGTACTGCTTCACTTACTTTCCTATCCTAAACAGGCATCATCAGCCAGGGTTCAGGCTTGGACCATTGCTCTGTAGATGTTTGCCCCAAGAATTGACCTTGTGAGAGCCAGCAATTTGCTGATGAGCACCAGCGGGCAAGGGAGGGGGATCTGGGTCCTGCGGCATTATCCCGTGCTCTTCAAGAGAGACAGCAGGAAGAATGTTTAAAGTTATTTTAATTCTCCTCCTACAGTATTGTATGGATAGAGCATACAAAAAGAACGTTTGTTTTAAGGTCTAATTCCTGTGTTCTCTCTTATGATAATTTTAAAACAACTTTTCAACGCTTTATCCCAATGCATTCATTGCTCTGAATTGAATTATACGAACCTTGATTCTGTAATAGATGGCAGCCTTTAATTATTTAAAAGAAATTGATGTAAAGGGACATTGCTTTGATGGGCTCTCAATGTACAATAAATTTTCACAAAACACAGGCGATAAGCAATTGGAAAGATGAAGTGGAAAGTTCAAGCTTTGCATGAAAATGCTCCACGTAACTGAAGGCGAGGCTTGCAGCAAAATGGGCCTGTGGTGGGAGATGTTCATCGTCCTTGTGAAATGTCCTCTGGCATCGTTTGCATGGGCATTGACCGAACGTGCATGCCTAGGCTCAGTTCATGCGCTTCCATGGCTTGGTGCATTTTCTGGTGGTGTGTTTTACGGCTCCTTGGGCACAAAAAATGATTGACGCTGCAAATGAATGTGGTTTTCTATCAGTTCAATCACATGAGAGTATCTGATTTACTAGGTAGTTGGTAACGGAAAATCTACAGGCACTACTGTTTGGTTATATCTTTTGCTATATATAATCAAGTTCTTAGAGCTCTGTCAGGAAATGCCTGTTTTTGGTCATGCAGGTTTTTTTCTTTAATAGTTGTAGACAATGAGAAATGTGATCAGATTACAGACTGCTATAGCTGTACAGCAAATACAAACAACTGTCAATGGTGCACTGACCAGTGTATCTCAATGCATAACAACTGCACAGAGGAACAGGTAAAGTCTCTCTAATACTTCTGTAGTTTAAATTTAGCCTTTGCTATATCAAATGTCCAGATGCCTTTATCTGTCGGTGTTATGACCCCTGTTGTTTACTTATTTCCAGTGCTTGTGTAGCTCTGAGCTGCTAACATGCTTGGATTTTTTTTTTTTTTTAAATTGGTCCAAGGGCTTTTCATGGGACACTTCACTTAAGTTAGGAGGATGGCTGTGGGCAGGGGAAGAGGTGGTGTGATTATTCAGTAAGGCATGTAGCCATTTGGGTTTGCTATCAGCAGACCTTTCCCTAGAAAAAAAAACCTAACCCTTTTGTAAGAGCTCTAGTAAGGAAAATGTGTCAGATGGTGGCCTGGGGGAATATCCTGAATACACAATACAGGCTGTGTCCAGTGTCACAGCTTTTGAACATAGAGGTTGCTTTTTTGGTCTAAACCGTGAAGTTCAGTGTGATAGTCATTATGGCAGTTACAAGCAGGCATTGGGTGGGAAAAAGCCTCATCTGTGCTATTTATTTTAGGTTCCTATTACTCTATATGATAATTGCCCTAAGGATAACCCTGCCTACTACTGTAACAAAAAGACAAGCTGTAAAAGTTGTGCCATGGATCAAAACTGTCAGTGGGAACCTAGGAATCAGGAGTGCATCGCTTTACCAGGTAGGTATTGGTTGTATTTGTGTAAGAAAATAAGCCCAATTCACCCCGTCCAAAAAGTTGTCAGATTTTGGTGGTTTCTTTTTTTTTACCTCCAAATCTGTCATCTCGTAGGGCTAGGCTGGGGTAAATGATGTTCTTTAATCATACTAGCTTTGGTATGACACTTTATTTCTACTAAATTCAGAAAGTCTGATGGAATATTTTTCAGTCCCAATTGTCTGAAGAGGAGTATGATCATTTGTATAATTATTAAGCTGTATTCCATCTCTCTCTTTTCATTTGATAAAAGCAGTACTGTTGATATAATAGGCTTCTGGAAGGTATTAGATTTAATAATGCATGCTATTTAATTTTAGAAAGTAAAATTGAGCAAAAGCATAATGACACATACTGGACGAATTAGGCAAATAATACCTAAAGTGCATAAGGAAAATTCTCCTCTGAGAGCGTTTGCAGTGGGAGCTCATAGGAGTTGATCGTTAGTACCCCTGTAGTAATGTGGGTTTTTTTTCCCAGTGACTGGGAGAGAGATCCAGCATCTTCAGTGACTGACATTTGCAGTTAATAAAATGAAGAAAAAGGGGAAAAAACAACACAGGCAGAAGCTTTACATGGGCATGGAAAGCCTTCCTCTAGTAATTCTGATAGGTCTGGGCATGTCCAGCTTTGGCATTTGCTATTCTGGAAGAGTGGAAAAAAAAAAATGAAAAGACTTTGGAGAACTCTTGAGAGCAAGAAAAACATCTTTTAATGAGATAGATGAAGAGCATGGTCTGTTTAATTTGTTCTAGAAGAGGGGATGACTTGATCATACATGTAAAAAGCCCATCTGAAAAACTGCCACTTGAGAGCTTTTCAATCTGTTAGCTGAATCTAAACCAGGACTCTGGAACTAGACGTTAGCTCTACAATTCACACTGAAAAAGTCCATCAGGTTTTTTTGTAAGGGTGGCTATGACTGGGGGAAAATAATTACCACAAAGTGCAAGGATTTCTTCAGCAGTAAGCGTGGCTGGGCTTAAGATGAAATGGGGATTAATCCTGGAAATTTGGTGCTGTGGACAGGATTAGCACAACAACCCTCTTCTGTTGAAAGGTATCCTAACAGCTGTGGCTGAGTAAGTGACTTTAAGCCATCAGCAAAATACCCATTTGCTTTCCTTTTTCTTCTACTATGATTTTACTATTTGATGTTGTGATAAGTTCTTTGCCAACCTATTGCAGATAACTAAGTGGTAACGTTGCACTTCAGCTCCCCCAAAAAGCTTTCCTTTTCCTTGGGTATTATTACACAAAAACACTTCTGAGCATGCCCGTAAGTCATGCTGGTTTGGGATGAGGCTTTAGGTTTTATTTTGGTGGAAGAGCTCTCTGGCTACTTCGAATGTTGTGAAGGTCACTTGCGTCTCTGGTTTTACTTTCTTTCCCCTTCTCCAGAAAATATCTGTGGAACAAACTGGCATTTGGTTGGCAACTCCTGCTTGAAAGTTACAAACGCGAAGGAGAACTACGATCATGCCAAACTGTCCTGCAGGTCCAGCGGTGCTTTGTTGGCTTCCCTCACGACCCAGAAAAAGGTAGAATTTGTTCTAAAGGAGTTGCAGAAGATGCAGTCTTCGGTGAGTGCTTCTCTTTTATGTCCCCTGAGTAATTAAGCTCTGACTGTGGAAAAGTCCTTGCTGTGGTATTGTATGCTCTGTACAGAGTAGACATGCCTCTTAACTGAAAAGGACTGATTTTTCTTTTGAAATTCAACATAGCCTATGGGTGCTTTTGAAGTGGAATTGTAGAGAATGTAAATGGGCAAGATAAATATAAACATACACTGTGCCTCAAAGGTATCACTTTCTATAATGAAATCACACAGGCATTTCTCTTGTGGGATACATGACTGCAGCAGGAGTCCTCTCGTGACTTGTACACAGTATTTCATAAGTAAATGTCCCTTTGGGGCACCAGAGGTGTTTAATGTAAAGCATTTAAGTTATTTATTTCACTCAGAAACGTGGCTGTTCAAAATGTTGGCTCCTTACTCCAGCAAATAAGCTGCTTGGCTTATTTGGAGTTATTTATGTTTGATTTAGTGGCAGGTGCTTTTCTGTCGGAGCCGGTGAGAAGTGAATTGGAATCTGTCCCTCTTCATGCATCAATAAAATAAATATTTTTTAATCCCCCCCCGCCCCGTCCCCACCCCCGTCCCTGACAGAAGTGTGGAGGTATTCAGAGCAGGTTGTGTAGGTGCTGCTACAGCCCGAATGAACAACGTTGCTCTGCAGCTTTGCTGAAATCCTGGTGTGGGCTGTAGAGCTGCTGTGGCTTGACAGCACGTCAGAGTAACTCCTCTTGGGTCCCAGAGGCCACGTGGGCAGGGCTGGCACTCAGGCAAGTTCTATATAGGAAAGATGGGAGTGGAGGCAGTGAGATGAGAACGTACTTCAGTACTAAAGAGCAATATTCCCCTGTTGAAATAAAAACATTTCCTGCTTTGATTCCCTTTGTAATTTTTAAGTAGCATTTTGACAATTACGGGGTTTTAGAGAGGATTCAATTTAGCCAAGGTAAGGTGAGGTGCAATTCAAGCAAGATTGATTGTTAAATCTTGCATAAAGAGAGAAAGCCAAGCCTGGGATATTGTAAAAGACCTGGTTCGAGCAGCTCGGGGTGTTTCCAGGTATCCCAGTCGTTAAAGTGTGGTGTAAATTCCTAAAGACACATGGCAACCCTTCCCTAATAGTGCTTGAAACCTTACACCAGCGAGAAAAAAAACTGTTAACTCTTTTTTTTTTTCATCTACAGTATCGCTTAAAAAGTGAGCCTTAGAAATCTAAACTATTAACCCTTTTTTTAGTGGATATTAGTATTGTATGCTTGTAATGTGGGAAAATGGCTTTGCTAAAAAGCCAGCCTGTATCTGGTACTTGAATTTTTGCCATTCAATGGCACGCTGCTGCTGGAGGAGACTGTACTTTGCAGTTTTTCCTTTTTTAAGTAAGCTCTGTATAGATGTTTTGTAATAGTACGAAAACATATTGGTGTTGGCACATAGTGCTTTGTAACCCTGTTGCTGCTAGAAGTTGCAGCTCTAAGGTTTAAGACTGCATATATCAGTAAGAGAAGATGTATGGTCTAACGCCTTCCTAGGACAGCCGTGCCACCAAAGTGTTTTGATGAAGAAAAAATTTGAACAGTAAAGTAACATATTCTATCAATACAGTTAAAATGCCTCTCCCCCAAAATAAGTGTGCCAAAAAATAAATCACCAGTAGAAATCGTTGTGTTATGGTTTCTTCGTATTGAGAATTTCATTGCTATCAATACTAATTTAGGTTTGACTTGCTCTGTGTCTCCACCCCTCCATATATACATTCTTAGGCAGCAGAGGTCTTCTAGCAGGACTGTAGAGTAGGCAGATTGTATCATTTAAATAGTGTAGAGGGACTGCTAGTTTTCTTCCTAATGTCAAACTGTAGCTCCAGAAATTTTTTTCCTGTGTCTAGCAATTTATAGGAGTCACAAACATATAAAGAGCAACTTGCAGTTAATTGCGTAGTCAGCCAGCATGAATGTTTGACTTGTTCTCCTCCTGGTTTAGATAACTAGAAATACAGGTTGAAAAAGAAAATAAAATTAAAAAATTGGTGTTGCCTGAAGGATTTCTCTTTCTCTGTGGCCTTTAATTCTGGTAGCACTGAGAAACAAATATTTTCCTTATTACATTTTTGCAACACCTAACCAGGCAAGGTTGTTTATAAGCATTAAATGGTGATGTGTATTTTCTTTTAATACTTAAGGTAATAAAACTGGGTATTAAATCTACCATTTTCCTTTATTTCTAGCCCAAAACTTTGACCCCGTGGGTTGGACTGAGGAAAATCAACGTGTCATATTGGTGCTGGGAAGACATGTCTCCCTTCACGAACACCCTGCTCCAGTGGCTTCCCAATGAACCAAGTGATGCTGGATTTTGTGGTTATTTAGCTGAGCCTTTCCAGCAGGGACTGAAGGCAGCAACGTGTATCAACGAAGTCAATGGCAGTGTCTGCGAAAGGCCAGGTAGTTACATCTAACTTGTGTGTCTCATAGGGAGCAGCTTGACTAAGAAGTATTTCTGTTTCCTAGAGAGTAGAGAGGATCCCATTCATCACACTTGAAACTAGCTGCATCATGACTTTGCCAAAGAAAAGTAGTTCTGAAAAAGTGTCCTGTGTAGGTGTTTCATACAGGAATAGGAGATTTTAAAAATAGCTCTAAATATGCTGTTAATTGTAAAATGCTTGAAGTACATTATAGTTTAATTATTTTTCTCTAAATTGCATACCTGAGTAGGACATTTAGGTTAATTATGGTATGGAGCAATCTCCTGTTTAAAAAAAACAAAAAAAAAAAAATAAAAGCTACTTTCCAATTGAGCTCTCCTTTCTCCCCTCCCCTGCTCCATAGCCAGAGGAAGATTTTATCAAATTTTGAAATTAATTGGGCAAGACACTTTGGACATATGAGAACTTTGAAAAAGAAGCTATTTGCTTTTGGGAAAAGTCTTCTAGCTTTGTTGGAACTGCATATCTTTTAAAAAGGTTTCGTCTGTTAACTCTCCATTATAGCTGATTATTTCTGAATACCAACTAGTGCCTCTTTAAGTTTTAAGAAAGTTGGCTGCTTACATAGAAATTTCTAAGTAAGCTATACTACTTGAAATCATTCTTTGTGGAAGAGCAGAATACAGATCATGAATGTAGAACCTGAACTCAAAATTTTGTATATTTTAACTTGAGGCATTTTGAATCGGTCTAAGCTTTAACTTACTTTTTATGGTCTGAGAATAGTCACTTGAAACAGATGATAAAGCACTGGCTCACACCAGAAACTCCTGAGTTAGTTCTGCTTTCAATACTCATTTTATGTGTGGAACTGCTCAAATAACTTAAAACATATCCCAGTGTGCTCACATAAAAAGTGGGGCTTCTTCCCAATGCTTCAGCTGGGACCATAGTGAAGGAACACATCAACAGACCTGCAGAGACAAGAAAAGCACATTCATAACCCTATAGAAATTGTTTTTAAGGTGGATACTTTAAAAAGCATTAACACTTATGAAGGATACGTAATAAGAGAAATGATTTTACAGTACTTGCTGTGTTTCTCATATTCACCGTGGTAGAAGGTATTTCCAGCTCCATCCAGCCCATGTTGTGGTTTATCCCCAGTGGGCTGGGGGAGAGAATTGGGGAAAAAAACTCGTGGGTTGAGATAAAAACAGTTAATAGGACAGCAAGAGAAAAAGAAACAACAATGATAACAGCAATAATAATACCGGTAAAGGAATGTACAAAAACGGGTGATGCCCAATACAGCAATTGCTCACCACCCGGTGATCGACAGTCCGTCCCCGAGCAGCGATTCTCGCCCCCCCCGGCCAACTCCAGTTTATGTACTGGGCATGACATCATATGGTATGGAATATCCCTGTGGCCAGCCTGGGTCACTGTCCTGGCCATGTCCCCTCCCAGCTCCCCGCGCACCCCCAGCCTTCCTGCTGGCAGCCCAGCACGAGAAGCTGGGCTCTCCTTGAGTACTTAGCAACAACCCAAAACATCAGCACCCTATCAAGAGTTTTTCATCCCAAATCCAAAACACAGCCTCACACCAGCTTCTGTGAAGAAATCCAGCTCTATCCTGCCTGAAACCAGGACAGCCCACCACAAACGAAGTGTTTCAAGACCATGAGATGGAACCATTTTTCAGCCTGAATAGTAAACAGGGTTTTTATCTTCTGTCTTTTTATCTCGGGGCTTGTTACCTGTGTCTTGTTGGAAGAAAGCTGACTCTTGTCCTCCTGCCCACAGCTAACCACAGCGCCAAGCAGTGCCGCACGCCCTGCGCCCTGCGGACGCTGTGTGGGGAGTGTACGAGTGGCAGCTCCGAGTGCATGTGGTGCAGCAACATGAAACAGTGCGTGGACTCGAACGCTTACGTGGCCTCCTTCCCCTACGGGCAGTGCATGGAGTGGTACACCATGAGCAGCTGTCCACGTGAGTACTTGCTTCTGCCTCTTGACGGGAGGGACGGAGTCTTTTTGCTAGCAAAAGGTCATCAAGCTCTGCACATGGGTTATACTGAAAATCCCCTGGGTGAAGGTACCTGAGCCCAGGAGCTCAGTGTGTGCGGCTCCATCCTGCGCTATATTCTGCCTCATGTAAAGCATTTAATGCTTTTAGAATTAGGTCCCCGTTATGGGAACTATCAATTCAACTATATGGCAGAAAGTCAAGGCTTTCAAGTGAGATGATGAAATCTCCAGGTTTTTTTTCAGAGAGAGAAGTACTTGTTTCATTATTTGAATTCCTACCATTCGAATTAATTGTTACCTAATTTCATGTGATGAACTTCTTTTTGTATCTCTTTTATTCACATATGGAGCCATGTAATTTAATGTTAGATTATATTTATCAAATCCAAATTAAGGTTTACACGAGTGTTTTATTCTGAAACACTGCACATAGCCCACAGTAGGAATTTCTAACTTTATTTTGAATAAATTACTTATTTTTTCCCCTTTTAGGTAGGTGTGAGAAAACTGCAGAAGAATTATGGTACTTTAGAATATTGCATTTTGTTTTCAAACTGGGGTGAAATAGTCTAGAAATTTAAAAAATAGCCAAAACAATTTTATAAATTATTTTTATTTATGTTGAATTCTTTAGGAGCTGAGTGTGGGCAGGGGACTCAGGAAGGCCAGGGCTCTCGGGGTAGCAGACGGAGAGGAGTGCGTATGTTCCCCGGGAGGGAAGTTGGGCAGTTTGGGTTGATGCAGTTGCTCCAGGAACTTTTGGAAGCTGATGAGAATAAGCTGAGTAGCTCAAAGTGTTGCAAAATAACAGATGGAGAAAATGAGTTTTAGGTAACTGTCAAGCATGACAGTGTGAACTTCCCGTATAGCCCGAAGTCAAAAGTTGGAGGAAGCATCAGGCAGGAGATGAGTAAGCTGAAGTAATGAAAAACAATGTTTTTCTACTACTTTTTTTTTTTAGGCAAATATTGTCGATTAAAACATCGAGATAGAAAGTCTGCTCATCTTGGAACACCAAGAATTTACTCCATATTTTTTAAGATGGCATTGGGAAAGAAATAGAAAAACTTCTCTATATATAAAGAGTTTGTCACCCCTGAAATACAGTCCCATTTGAGAAAGGAACAGTAAAAGGCTGGCGATGGCTTTTCCTTGAGTTAGTCGACTGCTGAGCCCAGGGGACCTGCATGTGGCACTCTGAGCATCCTAAGATGACACATTTTATTCTACACGTGTATTCTCTGCTTTTTGACTCAGATAAATACTTGAAATAGTAGTGTGTGATATTAAAACATGTGGCAAGAAGAGAGTCAAAGCGAGTATCTGATCCATTGTAAATCGATCAGAGAACTTTTGTAGTTGGGAGCATTAACCTCTGGTATTAGTGGGTGGTGTTTAATGTTTAGAAAAACTTCACATGTGTATTGTGTTGTTTCATAACTCACTGATTAATTCAACCTTTGTGTTAATAGTTATCTTAGATTCTAGAATAAATATGCTGATAGGAATGAAAATATATATACATGTGTAACTGTGAATATCAGAATAAGTTTTTACAGATTTGGCAAGATAAATACTTAAGGTCGCAGAAGGCATGCAAGGGTTTCTGCCTTCACTGTCACCTTTGTTCTGGGTCACTGATTTATTCCACAATTTGATGTCTGTTTTTTTTAATAGCTGAAAACTGTTCAGGCTACTGCACGTGTGCTCACTGTTTGGAGCAGCCTGGCTGCGGCTGGTGCACTGATCCGAGCAACACCGGCAAGGGCAAGTGCATCGAAGGCTCCTATAGAGGTCCAGTCAAGATGCCAACCCCATCCACAGCAGGGAAACACAGCTTGGAGCCCGTCCTTAATGTCAGCATGTGTCCTGTGGAGAACAACTATAACTGGTCTTTTATTCAGTGTCCAGGTAAATGAGCAATGGTTAATTGTTCAAACATTTCAGCCACAGCAGCAATTAAATGCAAAGGGAAAGACTTTTTAAGACTGTAGTGATGTCTGTGTTCCCTCTTGTTAATGGAGGGAGGAAAAGAGCTTGGAAGGCAAACAAGAAATAATGCATTTTGAGATGGAAATTGTTGTGCGGGTATCTGTGAGCTGCATGAAGACTTACCTATGCATTACTCTAGAGAAATTTTTCCTTTCCCTACAAACCTTTACCGACTTCTAAACTTTTGTTTATTTATTGGTTTTACGGTTGCTTGAAAGAAAAGCAGTTCTTTCTCTGAAGGTTGATTTAATTGATAGCAATGCTCAGGGTGATTCTGAAATAACATTTTTGACACCAAACATATAGGATAAAATTACTTGTACTGCTGCTAAACCCTTTCTTCCCTGTTCCTCCATGTAAACCTGTCCCACCAGCTGCTTCCAGTCCTGTCTGTCCAATATGGATCTAAAGTTTTGGAGTTCAGTTTTTCACGTATTATTTTAAATATCAGGTTTTCAGTACACACTTCTCTTTGAGTTCATGTATCGCTAGCAAGACTGCAGGAACATCTTTGGAAGGTGCATGAAATGGTTTCATTCAGCCTCTGCAGAGCACAGACTGCAGAGGCTCTATGTGAAGCGCTATACTTCAGCACAGATACTCATCCTTTTTTGTTTTCTTCAGCCTGCCAGTGTAATGGACACAGTAAATGTGTAAATGAAAGCATCTGTGAGAAGTGTGAAAATCTGACGACTGGAAAACACTGTGAAACTTGCATCTCGGGCTACTATGGTGATCCTACTAATGGAGGAACATGTCAGCGTAAGTGATGCCTTAAATCTTCCTGCGCTCAAGTCTTTGATGTTTTTCACTCTTTACTCATTTCTCTGCTATCTTAACTGAAATTATATCCTGATAATACATTTTTTTTCTTTCCTGCAAACGAGGCACAATCCTTGTTTTTTCAAATCAAAGATACGGAAACTGCTTGATGAAATTCTTTGACTTTCATTGCACAAGTTAAAGATGATTTTTTTACCCTCCTTTGTAAACTTTAAATGACCACAGTGAAAAATGTGTGCATTTTAGTGTTTGATCCTGTTTTGAAAAGAAACAATGTTAATCCCAATGTCTTGAACAAATTTCTGCTTATCTAAATTTCATTTTCTATCGCATTTGGTTAATGCGTTGTGCATTCATTGTTGTAAGTGATTCATAAAAGGCTTGCCATATTTCACTGAGGAGTTGGCTGGATTTCAGTTGAGGATTAGGTGATCCCTGTTAAAATTGCATTTTAAGTTTGTAAAGTGCTTTGAGACTCTTTGGCACAAAGAACTTTTTTTGGTTTTGCAAGATCCTGTTAACAAACTGGGGAAAAAATCTTGAAGGACCAATACAGGTAATACTGAGAAATGAAAATAAAAGATTTGGAGTTTTACGCTTGAACCTTGCAACGTTACTCTGAACTATTGTGAATTTTGTAGTGTTGTATCATGGGGAGACCAGTTGTAAACCAGAATCCAGCTGTGATAGGTGATACGCAGATGTAAGGGAAGGTGCTTCTTTCTCCGAAGAGCTTTAATGGAGTATAGTTAGGCATGCCAGAAGAATTAAGTGAAGGGGATTAATGAGGGGACACTGAAGACTTTGAGTTGCTTCTTCCAAGTGTGGAGACAATCCAGTAGAAAGTACTTGGAAATTCATTTAGTATGGTTACTGGAAGTAGCATCAACCTTTGGGATGAAGATGAGAGTCAGTAGCTGGAGCATGAACGCCCCGTTTCCTAAAGCAAGAGCTAGGTGATGTTTGAGGCCATGAAGAAGAACCTCCCAACAGACAGATTCAAGGAAGGGGGTGAAAAGATCACAGACAGGGACAAGGCTGCCATACTTACAGAAAAGGGTGTTGCAGTAGCTGGGATACGAAATTACAACAGACAGCACAATGGCACGGGGACAAAGGAGAAGGTGCATCTCTGACACTTTATTTCAGAACGTTATCTGCAAGATTAAATACTGCTGATATTCGTAAACTCATTTCATGTGAAGATAATTTGAAGTGCAGGAATGAATAAATTGAGACTGAGTTGGCCTGAGAAAATAAATAATTCTACTCTGAGCATTCAGGTTTAATCATTGAATCACAACGTGCCTTTTGATATTTGTTGCTTTTCTATGCGTGTGGAAATTGAGAGTAAGTTACTTTGGACTCTTTCGCATGAGAATTGTCCAAAAATGGTTTGTTGCTGAGATAATGGATGATAGACTAAAGTCATCCAGATGCCTGAAAAAGAAATTAGAAAATGTGTTGAGAGACTGTGGAACAGCATTCATTCGTTATCTGATGAAACTAGTAGCTCATGTCAAAAGTGCTTTGCTCTCAAGTGCTTTGGGCCCAGGTTTTTAATTTTCTGTGATTTAACGCTATTTACTGTGAAGGCAAAAGGATGAGGGAAGCAGGAAACTGGGCAAAAAGACTGAGGTGGATCAGAAGAGGGAGAATGAGAGAAAATCATCCTACCTGATGCAGCCAGAGCGACTGCTGGCCATTAGTAATTCTTGCTTGATGGAAAGATTTCCAGAGAGGAATTTTTAAGGTGAGGATCTGCTGAGAGGCAAAAGAGCCAGCTCCTGCTTTTTCCGTCCTCTGAGCCATGGTCCTTCCTTCCCTTCCCATTAATGATGTGCTGATTCCACTCTTTTTGTGTATTTATGTGTAATGTTGTGTGCTGCTGTTTTTAGAGCCCACAGTCACATCCGTGCTGGAGATGGCTGTTGGTACAACTCCATCCTGATGCACAAGCATCCGTGCGTTTGCACACTTGACACCTAGTGTGAGTCCTGGTACTTTGAGGTGCAGATTTGCAGTGTTAACTCAGAGGCCCCAGCAGCATGAGGACCATAAATATCCTCAAAATGGCAAATATTCAGTGCTGAAAAAAGTGTTAGTGTTTGGTGTTTTCTGTTCTGCTGAGCTACAGGGAATTTGAGCGACGCGTTGGGATAGCAGTAGCCTTTCAAACAGGTAAGGGGGGTTCAAAAGCCAGGGAGGAATAAAAAGAGTGGATGGAATAAGACTCCTACTATTTCTGCTGCTGTGTGCCACCAGGGCAGGTGAACGTTGCTGTATTGCTTGTGTTGAAAAATTTTTAACAAACTGCAGTTATTTTTCTGAAGGAATTGTTTGCATATCATCATAGGCATTGGTGTTTGTGGAGCTGGGCAGATAATAACTAATTGGTAGGTAAATTACTCCTCAGCGGTTGCTTTTAGGAAGTGTCCAACGTAGCGAAGTGTTAATCGGGAAGGGCAGGAAATGCAGCACATCAAGTGTAAAAATAGCTGCAAGGTGCTTTCTCTGCATTCAGGGTTTTTTGAGTTTTCTGATTAAAGTTTCACATGAAAATATGCTAGCGGTAGATAAGGAAGTTATTTGCAAGAGAACGGAAGGCTCTATTATGCCTGAAATCAGATTGCTGCTGCAGGAGCGCTTCTGAACACCTCCGTGGAGCATTTGCTGGTGGCCCACGATGAGCTGCTGGTGCCGCGGTCCTGCCTGGTCCCCCCTCCTAGGGCTGCATGGGGGCCTTGGAGGACGGCTCAAGCATTTAGCATGGAAAAACGATGTTGGGCAGGTGGGTGATGCCGTTGCCGTTGGGGTGCTGGACCGTTACAAATACAGGAAGAGGAGCGGCGTTTCCCGTGACCATTGCTGAATGAGTCTTTGACCCACGGTTTCTGAAGAGGGTTGAAGGAGACTTGCTGTAAGGTGGTTCATCGTCAGACTGTCACCATGCTTCACAGTCAAAAAGCCATTTCCAATAATTTTGGCTTTCTGCTCTAGCATCAGGCTCTGGAGGCAAAGTTTCATTTTTAGACTCCAGCGAGAGTGTCTAGTACATTTTGTCAGTAGTTTGTTTCCAAACTTCATACTTGTTTGAAAAGCCATGAGAAAATTTCTCATGTGTGCATAGTCTAGTTCTTTAGTGAATGATCTCTAGTTACAGGGCTCATAGGAAAATGAATACATAAATAGACTCTGTTGTTTTAAGTAGGGATATTTGAGTCTCCAGTCGTCTTGATAAGCATGTGGCTAAAGAGCAGGGTGAGGAAGCATTAATGTTAGTGCTCAAGGTACTGTGATCTGTGTCTAAACAACATGAAATTTGAAATTTCTCCTAATTTTTATGTATGTTAATGTTGAATATTGATCAAATTTCACTTTGCTTACCTTTTGTAAAGCATAAGGAAGGAAGTACGAGACATTCTCAGTAGTATTAAGAACTATTTTTTTTAAAGTACCTCTAATGAGAACTGTATTTGCTTCACAGAATACAATTACTTTGTCAAATCTTCATTCAGTCTACTTGTTTCCACAATAGGCCTTCATACTGCTTCATATTTTGTTCCGTGTTGCTGCTAGGAAACCACTCATTCACATCTGAGAAGCACAACTAAGCGTCCCTGATACAATATAGCTTCCATTATCTGCCACTATAAAGAAGCCATCAAAAGGATTAATAAAACAAGGTCCAAGGTTGGCAAGGATGTTCAGGATGGGAACTTCATGTCTAAGAATCTGCCGGTACATTGAGTGGCACATGTCTTAATGAGAAGGCATGTGTCGTCTCAACAAGGAGGCACTGGCCTTTAAAGCGTACTATTTCCAGCAAGCTCAGGGACTGCAAATCTTCTCTTTCTGTACTTTTTCCCTTCTTCCATTGAATGCTCTCCCATGCACAGCTCCAGACGAATGCATCTTCCAGTTCATTCGTAGAACAACTTCTAAAAGGCAGCTACCTTCCAGGAAAAGTTAATATATACATCCTTCTAGTTATAGAGAACTTTATATCAAAGATAACTGCTTGGGTTGGATTTGTTCTTGTTTGTGTTTTGCGGTTATTTTTTTGCATGTACCTCCTCTACTTCTTTACGACCAAAGGTCTCAAAGTGTGTCAATGTTAGCATTTTAATTTGAATCGGGAGCATTCATTTCAAGCAAATCTCCCGTACGTCCCCACTGTCATACTTCGGTTTCGAGCAGGCTCGGGGTGTATGAGCTGGTCTGTTGTGGGCATGCTGCAAACCTGATGTAGTCCAGCGGCACGCTGGTTTCCTTCAACCGCGACTCAGTGGCGTTCAGCTCACGGACCGGGCAGAAGCTATTCTAAAATAGATTGAGGCACGTGTGCCAAACTGCTTCCAGCATGGACATCGTGTTCTTAGCACCAGCCCTTTTAGACTGCAGATGCGCTGACATTGTTGATAATGGCATTATTTTCTCAAAGGCTTATTTATTCTTAGAAAAAGCCCTGAAAGTACCATGAGCTTTGCTTTATTTGCAAAAACGGTCTCTCAAGAGTTATGAGTTTGACTGAAATGTGTTAGCAAGCCCAAAACTATTCCAAATATTGTCTTTTTCTTACCAGTTATGATATTCCTAGTGCTAACAAGAGGGGAAGCTAAATGAATTTTTGAGGCTAAAAAGCACAGTCTGATCATGATTTCAAATAAAACATCAGTCCTGGAGCCTGCACTCACTCTGTTTTGACACACAGTTCTATTTTTGGCTGCCTTCTGTATCACAAAGAAACCAAAGAGTACCAAATGGGTTTTTATATGCACTTTAATTGTTGATGTATCTCAGTTTGGCAACTAAAAAACTTAATTGCCATCAAATCTGTTTCTCTTGCTTCATTCAACATTGAATCTTTTTCCCCCTCTGCTCAACAGCTTGCAAGTGCAATGGCCACGCGTCTGTCTGCAACACAAACACAGGGAAATGTTTCTGCACTACCAAGGGAATAAAAGGAGACGAGTGTCAACTGTGAGTTCGTTTCACTTTGTTATTTGAAATCAAAAGGCTGTGCATATAGCGATATAGAACACCTAACTTTTTTTAATGATTGTATTTATGTGTCTGCTCATCTCTTCCTGCTGGCAGTTGACTAACTTCATTGATGGTGCAGCCAGCTGTGCTTCCGCTGGGGGAATAACATGAACAAAATGATTTCCTGAAGATTTCTAAGATTTTTAAGAACATTTCAACTGGCAATGTCATGCAGAAGGGATGGGGTGAAAAAACAATGTCCACACTCCCCAGACTATACATACCGCTTTGCTTTGTCCCTCAATAGTTTCTTTTTCATTGGTAGATTTTTACTGTCTGTGCCCTCTGCTGTTCTGGGGAGAAGTGTAAATATAGCTGAAATAAGACTTTGACATTCAACCATTTTAATGGAGCAGCTTCAGAGCAAAAAATTTTCTGAAGGTTTCTCTCTAACATAACAGAAATGCTTTTAGTGTAATGTTAGTGGAAATAATTTCATTCCAAATAATTTCATTGCCAGGTTTATTTTCAAAGTGTTGCTCACATGAGTAAACGTTTCTAGGACTAGAATCCTGGAATAGCCATAAATGTAAATGGAAGCTTTTGTTTTTGACTGTAGTAATCCAGTTCCATGCATTGTGAAGAGCTAATAAATACATTCCAAGTGGATGCAAATGTTAATATCTAGAATTTTGTATTTCATTTTTACTGCATACTAGCCTGACTTGCAGGGATCATGGAATTTTTTCAGCAGCCCAGTATAGCTCAGACATGCATCTTTTATTTTTAATTGTGTACTGTTGTCAGCACAGGTGGCGTTTTCTGATTTTTAGTGGCTGAGAATAAATAGAACTGAAAAAAATCCATTTATTAAAAAATATGTGTTTTTCTTTAGGTGTGAAGTCGAAAATAGATATCAGGGAAATCCACTTAAAGGAACATGTTACTGTGAGTACTCTTGGGATTTTGTTTGGAGATAAAAAATGTGTTTGAGGTTTAAAATATCTTATTTAAAACTAGTTGCCTCAGCATCTATTTAAAGGACAGGAGATTAAAGGAGGAACTAAAAATAGTTTTAAAAAACTTTCATGAAGTTTTCACAACAGTATTGTTTAAAGAGAATAAAAATACTCTTCTTGATAAGGTCTGTGTGATGGCTGGATCTTTCAAAACAAACTTTTGAATGTGTTTTACGTGACTTTGAAATGAAATCTCATCTCTGGAGAATATTCTACAATATATACCTAATAAGTCAAAACCAAAGCATGTCTTCAGAATTTTTATAAGTGCAAAATACTATTTTTTAGAAATTCTGTTCCGTGTTAGAATTGGTAAGGTTTCAAAATTGCAACGTTTCCTCTGAAATGAACAGTTGTATTCTCATGCAATTTGAGAAGACACGTTGCCAAGATTCAGATTACTTAATGGAAACTCTCCAGCTTCTATTTGCAAATATTAACAATCAGCATACTGGCAGGCATGGCTAGATGTAATCTTAAATTACATTAAGATGGAAGTCTCAAATAGTGTTTTTGTGCAACACAAAAATTATCAACATGCTGTATTTAGCAAATTTGAATTCTGCTTGTGCAGCTAAACAAGGGCACTGATGGCTTCACATGGCAGTCTCACAGCAAGGGTGACCTAATTCACTGCTGCCAGTGGCAGGGGTGGTAAAGTGGGCAAAAAGGGGAAAAAGGCAGAACTTTACAACTCTTACAGGAGCAACCTTGTGCTGTACGGATTCAGTCTCGCTTGGTTTTCTTCCTTGAAAATTTCGGTCTTAGTGCTTCACAGGAGTTGTGGGTAGACATCAGGAGGTTGTCTAGCTTGCGTCTATCCAACGGGGGGTCTCCAGGAGGCAATAAGAGAAAAATAACACCTGGTGTTAATAAATAGCTTCATATTTATTATTGCTTGGGGTATCACTGCACGGGTTTGGGAGTATGTACAGGTCATAATACTGCATTTTAATAAAAGGATACTGAGCCTGGTGGATGTATCCCCAAAACTGACTGCACGCTGTCGATTAACAGAGAGGTAACAGCCCAGCCCTAGGCAGCCATGAGCATAGGAGGGCATACAGGTGGGCCAAAAACTGGTCCTGGCATGCCTGGACATGATGTGACCCAGAGTAGGATGGCAGCTGGGTCAATGACAAGTAGCTGCTCTGTAGAAATCCTCCCCATACAGTCCACTGATGTACAGAGACTTATCATGCGTGGAACTTAGTCCCGTCCCAAGTGGGGATTATACATTCTATTTTATTTGCTGTTATTGCCTTAGCACATGGAGGTACTGCAGTATGGAGAAAGTAAGAGTCTCGGCATGTTTTTTGCAATGTGTAGGTATGAGCAGTCATATAGATTAAGGCTGAAAGCTATTCCCTGGAAAATATAAGCAGAGTGTTCTTCTCTGCTAGTCTCAACTTAAAAAGAGGGGGTTTTGTCCCTTTTGTGTGGGATCATACATAGGTTGGAGTAATTTGTAACAATGTGGTGACTGAGTTGTGCTCTCAGTACAAGAAACACTTCAGCAATATCATGCTTTGATTTGCAGAAGTTTGTTTTATTCCAAGACACGGGGTAACTTTCTCCATGCATTTCTTACAGATACTCTTCTCATTGACTATCAGTTCACCTTCAGCCTTTCTCAAGAGGATGATCGCTATTACACAGCAATCAACTTTGTAGCAACACCCGAAGAGGTAAATTTTCTACTTTCCCTTTCAACTTCATCCTTTGGGTATACGTGTGTTGTCTCTTGGCCATGGAGGCAATGAATTGTTACATTTCTGCAAGTCTCTTTCTGTAGTCTCTTAAAATGGCATGTAAGTCCAGTTCCACAAAGCAACCAGAACTTTCTGAGCTTGGCTTGGCCATGCAGTTTCAAATCTTCCTGGTAAAATTGCATAAGGAACCACAGTTGATTCTTTACAGTTGTTTGAACAACTGCTGAGCAACTCTAGTTTTGCTTGTTTTTCACCCCATACCTTGTGTGTCTATTCTTCCTGATTTATTCTGCACACATGACTTGTTTTGTTCTTTATTATGCTTTCCTTGGGGAGGAGAACGCTGCTTTCACAAAAAGTAAAAAGTTTTTTGCTTGATGTGTTTGCTCCATGTTAATAAATAAAATTCCAAGAATTTTCTTCAGTGAAGATTTGCTGGGATACCGTACAGTAGAATTGTTGTCCTAAAAATGGATTTTCTTTCCGCCTCCCCCCAGCAAAACAGAGACCTGGACATGTTTATCAATGCATCGAAAAACTTCAACCTCAACATTACTTGGTCCACGAGTTTTGCAGGTAAAATAAGCATGATCTAAGTTGCCTGGTAGCTTGTTTCAGGTACCAGTTTTTGACGTGTCAAATTTAATTGGGGAAACTTTTGTTTTAACCTTTGAACTTGTTCTGTAATGGTCTTAAATGTCAGGCCTGGGGGCAGAAGTGAAATATCAGAAGGAACTATGTTTTTCCATCTTAATAGTGTCTTCTGGAAACATGGAAGATGCAAATTTGATTTTTAGTAATGTAGTATTTTGGTATACAGTGATTTTGATAATGCAGCACAACTTAAAATAGTAGTGTTCAGGTGAAAAAATTTTATAACAGTAAAATTCGAGATGCTTTGCCCTTTTTGTGTGCTATTGAAAATGTGCATTGAAGCATCTTTTCTTGCTAATTTTTAACATTTGAAAACAGCTGGCACGCAGGCTGGGGAAGAGATTCCAGTTGTTTCAAGAACCAATATAAAGGAGTACAAGGACAGTTTCTCCAATGAGAAATTTGATTTCCGCAACAATCCAAACATCACTTTCTTCGTTTATGTCAGCAATTTCACCTGGCCGATAAAAATACAGGTAGGAGCTCTTAAAGTGTGTATAATTTCTCTCAATGATGTGCCTTGTTTCATTCAAGCTGAGCCAGCTCTCAGTGTAATCTTGCAGCAGGCAAAGGGTTTTGAAGTTCCTGATTAAGAGCAAAAAGGTGCGTGATCTTCTGATGTTCTTTAGCCCAATGGATCTGAAAATGCACTGTGAAATACTGGGATGCTCGCTTATTAACAGGGCTATGTTCTAACGAGGTCTCTGACTTTAAATGTGTAGGTGTTGATGTTGAAGAAAACAGATTCATATAGCCAAAACCCAAACCTGGAATGTGAAAACAGAGGAAATGTACTTCGAGTCTCTCTTTAACATCTTGTTCTCAATGGGCATAGCTCAATGGCCATCCCCCTTTCTCCTTGTGCTCCCCAAGGCTGGTGGTACCTGCAGAATGAGATGAAGCTCATTCTTTCCCTTAATTCAGTGCAGTCAGTTAACACACGTGTTGCCTCAGGTGTCAGACTGTGGTAAGACTAGTGCTGAAGAAGCAGTGGATGAAGCTTGGTGGATTATGAAAACACTCATAGATCACAGACTGCAATCACAGAGACTCTGAACTGCTGCGGCAGCTAATAATTCAAAGAAACCTTGGCCACCTTCTTGCTCTGGGCTAAGTCAAGTATCAACTCGCAGTGTACTCAGTGATACGAGTGCTCTTTGAAGTACTAGGTCTGGAATGGAGATCTCAGATGAGGCTCTGTATATTTGAGTTCTGCCTTTTTTAAGAAGCTTGGTCAAATGTGGGAACCCGAGTTCTTCCATCTGCACCCGTATTCAACCAGTTGTTATGTGAAAGCTGACAACTTCACATTAATTTACTTGATACTTCAGACATATCAGTCACACAAACTTACCACAGGGGTCACTTCCGACAAAGATGGTGCACGTGATAATGTGGAGCAAGGAAATGTCCACCTGGAAAAAAGGTCCATAAGCTATAGTGATATTTTTCAAGGTATTTCATGAACTTTTAAAAAAATATATTAGGGATACTTGTGAAATGCCTGCATCACCTGGTAAAGATGGTGGGTTTTAAGTACTCAGGAAACTTTGTCTTGTTGATTGCACACTGGTAGATTTGATAGGCTGACTTTGGACTGCGTTTTGGTTCTTTTTAATATCACTTACAATATTGGTAATAATTTTCCAGCTGGAGAGTTTTTACTTTATAAATTGTTAAAGTCTCAGTTCGTTGTCAAGTCCTAATTTTTAGATACAGGGGAGTTTGCAAGAGCTGCAAACCTTTATGTCATTGGATACTCAAGCAGCAAGTACTAAACCTCGTTGTTTTAATTTAAGATAAATACTGATTTCAGTAGAGAAAGTAACATCCTGCATACAAAGGTGAGCAGTTGCATAATGATTTGTTGAAATATACAGCTTCTCTTTTAATCAAATTGTTAATCACAGGAGTCAGAAAAAAATGCATATTCTTTAACTTACAGGTTATATGTTGACTGATAGTTTACCTTCCCTAGTCAGGGCTGGACTGTACCTACCCTAAATTATTTGCTTTGCTATTTGTCGATGCAGAGCTGTGTTTTAGGACTCTGTAGATGTTTAAGAAGAGTGCTGTCTCCTGTTCCTTAAGCTCTCCTGTGTTTACTCCTACCAGTACTTACGATGAATTTCTGCTAGCTTTTCCTATGCCAGTGTTGTCACTGAGCTTAAATGTCCCCTCCATCTTCTTGTCTGGCAGCTGGGTCTCCTGCTTTCCCTGGATGAATTTGGACAGGTCATATCCTCTCTTAGCCCTCAGTGTGTGTTTGTTGGCTTAAGCAAGACAAACGCTCATCATCTTGTTTTGTGAAACAGGCTGCTCAGGTTCGGTTGCCTCATTTGTTTTTCCTCATCTCGCCTGTACAGTTTTGGTCAGCCATGTACAAGGCCATGGAGGTCAGGTCTCACCATTGCCATGTACAGCAGTATCTCTAGGTTCCTTATGGAACTTTTAGGTCCTTTTATGGCAGTATTTTGCTTTGTTTGTTCTCATGACTGTGGCAATTAATTGTTATTATTCATTTTAATATGGACTAATATACCCTGTTCTTCTGCATCGTTGGTTTCCAACTGATGAGCTCCCAGTCTTGATAGTGAACGTTCTTCTTAGTCCCTGACAGCATCATAAAATGTTATCCCCCTGCTGTTACTGGGCAATATTCCCAGCCCTGAAGACCATCTAGGTGTTCTTCTCTGTTGTTCTTTTCTGTGTTTTTATTGATGATCTCCTTCTACTTTGTCAGCAGATGGTGCAATTAGGATACTTTCTTTCTGGGTCTGTGTCATTAAAATGTCAAAGTCTGTCCAGATGCCATCCTTGAACTAACTTCTGTCCCCCTTAACCGCTACGATTCTTGAAATAATCTTCACCATCTTTATCTCCCCCAGGTATTTCCAATGTATTGAGAGCCATAATGGAATTTGGTTAGCTCAGCTGTAGTTCCTAGGTCTGTACAATTAATTATTTTTACAGACAGAAAATACTGGGTTGGCAGAACACAGATTACTGTTGTCAGCTCTATTGCTTGTTGAATTCAGTTTTTCATTTATTCCTTCAGTTCTTTTATTCAGAACTTGTCCTGAAACTTTGCATGCTGTCGAGGTCTTGGGAGCACGAATATCTAGATTCTCCCTCCTCCTCTAAATACAAGTTTTAAATTTTCCTCAGTGCCATGCTGAGCTGGTAGATTGCTTTAACAGCCTTGCTAACCAGAGCCGCTATTTCTTGTGCCATTTCTTTCAGAGTGCTGGGATGCATGCTGTCTGCTTTCGCTGACTTTGAACACATCGAAACATCTGAGTTTTGTCTCCACCTTGGTTGTGGACCTTTTTATAACCTTGTTCCCAGTAGACACTTTGCCTTGCACCGATGTTCAGTGTCCTTGTCCATGATGAAAACTCTAGTTTTAGGGATGTAGCTGATTGGTTTTAATCAATTGCCTATTCTTACAGCGTACTCTCTTCCCTTCCACCTTCTGGTCTCCTTTACTTGTGTGGCTGAAACACCTCTTGCTATTTTGTTTATCATTTGCTGAGGTCTAGCTCAGCTTGACATTGGTGGTTCTTATTTTATCACTGAACTACTTGCTGGCTTCTTGCTAATGAATCCTTTCCTCTCCATAATACATAGACTCTGTAATTGTTCCTAATGTCCTTTTTGTGGTTAGTTCTGAGGATACAGCTTTCAAGTAGTTCTGCATCTTTGACCTGAGAGAAATACTTAGATGGCTGCTTTCCCATTCCTTATCTCCTTAGTCCACTTGATTTTACTGTCTTATTTAATTTCTTGTTGTTCAAAAGAGTGAGCTTGGATTCTCTTGCAATACTTACCTCCTTTTATCCTTAATTTAATATGAATTTGCTTGTCTGCACTCAATCCAAGGTAATTTTATATCACCAGCTACTCTTAATGTCCTTGTTACTTGCCAAAACAAAGTCTAAAATAGCATCAGCTCTTACTGGTTGAGACACCCTTTTTGTGAAGAAGTCTGGCAGCAATATCGCATGCTGAAATATGTGGTCCTTACAGTTTCTATTAGCTTGCTCTTCAGTTCATAGCTGAGAAACTTTTTTCCCCAAATTGATGTTTTTCTGTCATCTTTCTCGAAATACCTATTGGTGTTGAATGTCTCCATCCTTTCTCACGTTTGCAGTAGCAGTTCTTTGTTACTTTGCTATGGCTTTGTCGTCCTTCTCCAGGAAGCCCACCTGCACCTCCTTTTGCTGGACATCTTACCATAGCTCAGCACAGCATTCCTCCCTCCTTTCTCGCAGCAACCCTGCAGCATTGCTCGTTTGTGTGTGAGAGAAAACCAGTTTAACAGTTGTTGGGGATGCAAGTCTGCATTTTGCATTCCTAAATCTGACAAATAGCAGAGTCTTCTTCAGAGAATTCCAGTCTGGTTGAGGTTGGAAGGGACCTCTGGAGGCCATCTAGTCCAGCCTCCTGCTCAAACAGGGCCACCTAGAGCAAGTAGCCCAGGACTATGTCCAGGCAGCTTTTGATTATCTCCAAGGATGAAGATTCCACAACCTCCCTGGGCAAACTGTGCCAGTGCTTGGTCACCCTCTCAGTCAAAAAGTGTTTCCTGATGTTGAGACAGACCCTCCTGTGTTTCAGTTTGTGCTCATTGCCCCTTGTCCTGTGACTGGGCAGCACTGGAAAGAGCCTGGCTCCGTCCTCCTTGCAGCCTCTCTCAGGTATTTACGGACATTGATGAGACCCCCCCCATCCCGGGCCTTCTCCAGGCTGAACAGTCCCAACCCGGTCAGCCTTCCCTCACAGAAGAGATGCTCCAGTCCCTTCATCATCTTTATGGCCCGTTGTTGGACACTGTCCTGTGTGTCCATGTCTCTCTTGTGAGAGCTACTGGGGAGCCCAGAACTGGACCCAGTAGCCAGATGTAGCCTCACCAGCGCTGAGTAGAGATGAAGGATCACCTCCCTTGAGCTGCTGGCAATGCTTTGTCTAATGCAACTGTTTCATGGTAAGGAAATACCATTGGCCTTCTTTGCAGCAAGGGCACATCGCTGGCTCGTGTTCAATTTGTTGTCTGTCAGAATCCCCGGGTCCTTTCCTGCCAAGCTGTTTTGCAGTTGGTTGGCCTCCAGCATATACTAGTGCCAAGGTTGTTCCTCCTCAAGGGCAGGACTTTGCACTTTTCCTTGTTGAACTTCATGAGGTTCCTCTTGGCCCGTTTCTCCAGCCTGTCGAGGTCCTTCTGAGTAGAAGCACAACCCTCTGGTGTATCAGCCGCTTCTCCCAGTTTGCTGTCGCCTGCAAACCTGCTGGGGGTACACTCTGCTGCATCATCCAGATGATTAATGAAGATGTTAAAGTAGGACCAGACCCAATATTGACTCCTGGGGTGCACTGCTAGTCACTGGCCTCCAGCAGGACTTCATGCCACCGGTCACCACCCCCTGGGCCCAACCATTCGGCCAGTTTTCAATCCACCTCACTCTCTCTTCATCTT